AGAAGCCTCATGAGCCAAATACAAGCCAGAATGATCAAGAAGCCAGGCCAACCACTGACCAGGAAGCTGCAGACAAGGAAAAGCGCACTTTGGAGAAGAAAAAAGCTGCAGCCGTGTATATGCGGTTCTATAGAAGCTGCAAGAGTTGAGGGCCTAGCCAATCAATCACATTTGCAGTGACTTACAACTGGATCTTGCTTATTTTGGGTCCTGGTTTCAAACCAAGGCCGAAACACACCAAGCGAAATCCGTTCTCTTGCCCAACGCTTCAAGCACTGTCTAGGGCTCAGCATTGATTTCACATGTAGCATGTCTAAGTGTGTCATTGAGGCGCCCATGAGCAATCGATGCTCTTTGAGGACTTTCTGGCCTGCAAAGGGCAATGGAAGGAAGGATCAATAATGAAATCCATCAAGAACTCCCATTCTAACTCGAAAAGAGGAGTCCGGAAATGGCTGACAGCACGGCAGTTGCTGCAACATTTTGATCAAGAGACAGTTGACCAAATTGTACTTCGCAAAGAGTCGGACGCCGAGCTAAAGCGTCTGGAAACGCGATCGCATCCAGAGGTTCCAGGCGAGACCCCCTGTTGAAATTACATGTGTGCCTTCCCCCGTTTGCCAGGCCTGACTCAGTACCTCACCCTCGTCGAGGATGAGGAGCTGGACCAGGAAACTACCTCAATCGAGAACGTCTTCAAGATGCACGACCGCGACAGAAGCTCCGACAGCGAGACTTCTTCTGAGAACCCTCCCTCCCCAAAGGACCCGAGCCCTTGATAGACTGGTCATTCAAGGGATCAGGAACATTTTACACATGATCTCCGTTGTGTACAGGACTCAAGTTCAAAGAAGGGCAAAGCCAAAAAGAAAAAAGGCAACACGACAAAGAAAAAGGTGAAAGCTGCCAAAGCAAAAGGCAGTGGTAGCGCTGGGGAAAACGGTGAGCGTGAGAATGCTGAAGCTGCTGGCAAAGCGAAGGAACAGGTTAAAGGTGCAAAGAAGGTCTGGCCATTTGATACATGTCATCGTTTTGTGAGCTAATTGCCCTGTGACTTCTAGGTGCTGAACGAGCTGAACAAGAAGATCCAACAAGCGAATCAAACGAAGCAGAATGCATCCAACTGGTTATACACTTAGTCAACTCCTTGACAAGTGTGAACCTTCTTGATTAGCAACCCTGTGACCTGTTCGCCTTGATAATCAAGGTCGCCCAACATGCGGGAAGCCTTGATGAAAGATCTGGACGCTGGATTGGCCAGCCTCCGGGCCAGCCGTACCAAGATCCAGTCGACCCTGGATGACAACGCAGAGGACCGATCGTTGCAACAAGTCTCAGTGCTCTAAAAATGTGATGCAGGAGGAACAAATGAGTCAGGCTACCAGTGCTGCCAAACAGGTAATTCAGAATTTTGATGTGCAAATGGAAGTTGTCATTGGCAAAAAGCGCACTTCCACTACGAAGTAGTCTTTCCGGTGCTCCGGAGCTTCAAGCACTATGGCACATGGCCGAGACACATGATTAAGAGTCGCACTTGAAGCTTTTGATTCCTGGGAGTGGCCACAGCTACATCAGTGCTTGTTTTCCTTTAGAACGAGGCTTATGAAATTGGCCCGCGTGTAGTTGTTCAAAGCAGGGGTGCAAGTGGCGCTAGCACCTTAGGGCTGTCTGTGATACAACACGGACAGAATGGAGCATGGCGACCACTGGGAAAAACTTGATCGCCTTTGCGCTTGTTGTATGCAGCTTGCAATCGCAAAATGACCTGGACAATCGTTTTCTTTGGCCGCTTGTGCCCTTCGAAGGTGACCATGATCCCATATCTCGCGATGAACGGGAAGGCCGTCAACATCAGATTGGGGATATGCTGGATCGCCTCGCCAAAGGGGAGCCGTACTTAGAATGTCAACAAACCGGACTTTTCAAAGGGTTCCAACCGGTCGGTTTGGGTTATGTACCTTCCGCCCAGGCTCCGATCGCTGATGCCATGCGAGATGCCCAATCATGCCTCAAGGCCGGGGGTTGCTCGACTACGTGTGCTGTCAACGCATTTACTTTGGCCCAGGACACGCCTCAGGGACTGCCACATACTATTTCCAAATTGGGGCGATACAGCCAGTTCAATTTTGCCCGGGATTTCAGACGCACCCTTCGAGCTCCTGTGGACTGCTGCGCCAAACCAATTTAATACATGCATTTAGTAATTTAGACCCCAGGGTGACCTTGTTGGGTTGCTTGTGCTGCAGGAGCCTGTGATGGTGAAGACACTGATCAAGGGCAAGACTCTTGACGATCCTCCCCGCCCAGTGGAAATCCCAGTAATATTGCCAGACAAACTGCTGATGTATTTAATTGGCTCCTTGGGCCTCCACGTTTCCCAGGAGTCGATTCACAAGTACTGGTCTCATGCAAAGCTGACAAACTGTCCATGGGCCAATGTCTCTCCAGGGGACCACGTACCGCTCGGCCTTTATGGCGATGCTGCCAAATATGCTGTTACAGGCCAAAAAGCTGTTGGATACTTTCTGAATATCCCGATCTGGAACCCAAAGAGTGCCAGAATGTCGAGGTGGCTATTGTTTGGCCTCAACTTTGACACTGCCCTCGGTGCGCAAACCCTACGGCCGCTGTTTTACCGACTCGTGGAATCCCTTCACCGCTGCTACGCAGGTATTGAAATGCATGGCTCTCTCAAAAAGTTTGCAGTTACCGAACTGAGAGGAGATTGGGAGTGGCATTGGTACTGCTTTGGTTTGCTCCGCACGTGGCGCAGTTACATGATTTGCTGGAGGTGTGATGCTTCAAAGCAACCAGGAAACCTCACAAACTCATATGTGGATTTCAATGACCACCCTCAGTGGGCAGATACGGAACTCACTGAACTGCAGTTTCTATCCCGCTGTATTCCGCCAAGACATGTTTGAGACTTGGATCAAACAGGTGGTGGCTGTTACACGCACAATCAGAAAAGCTGATGCTAAGGCCCGTTGGTATTGCTACCGCGGTTCTCCTACGGCTTCTTGAGGCACTGCTCTTTACACAACATCAACCTTGGACTGGCCTCAACAGCAAACGGAAGTTCGTTGTGCCTGGTCTGACTGATTGAGAATGCAAACAATAAGTGGCGAGAATCTAGAATTGTGCAAACCGAGGCTGCTTCTTGCAGAGCTGTCCTTTTTTGGCGATAGCCGTGAGCTATCCCTGCCAAGACGGCTTGCCATCGCGCACAAAGATTTCGAAGCATATTGCCGCAGTGCCAGGATATATTCCTCACAGCCTGTCTTTACCGAACGGTCAGTGCCTTTTCTAGAAACTTGCATTGCAGCTTGATAAGCCGTTTTTGCTTGCAGTGCTAGCCGAAGCGGATGCCTAGGTATACTCCTGGCAAACTGGAGCCTACTTGAAGGCAAAAGGATACAACTCCAGAGTGATTATTGCTTGGCTAAGTAACTGCTTGGAAATGGTTACAGCTAAGATGACAAAGCCAGATCGATTTGTTGGCGCTTGGCTTGAAAGAGAAAACTGCGAGTGGCCCCAGCATGAACTACTTGCTCCAAGCTGTGTTGCCATGACACTTTGGTAGCATTTTAACTGTTGGACTTTCCAAAACTCCCCCTCCCCTGAACCCTCCAATTCAAGAAACCAAGGAACGAGCTGGCCACTTGCATGCACTTGGTGGAGGAGGCACCTCGGTACCTGTGCCGTGGCAGAACCAAGTCTATTGAAAATTCCTTCTAGGACCGATCCGGTTTGACAAACACACTGAGGTCCGAATCCCAGGCAAATGATATATATCGAACTGGGATGGGGTTCCTCAGGGCGCACCGGGTGTGCACAATTGTAGCTCAAAGGCCTGTAGGGTTTCCTGCAGAAATCGTTGGTCCGGTGATCAAATAGCTGTGCAACTTCATAATTGAATCTGTCGGCCGCAGGCTGGGTATGGACTATTGGTTGATGCGTCCCAAGGCCCACGCTCTCCTGCTTGAATTTAGGGATCCCTTCACCCGGCGTTTGAGCGAATCAATTAGGCTTGGCATCATCAACTACGAGATGTTCGTGCTCGCAGCACCTTGTCTCAAACGAAAACTGACATGTTTGAGTTGCTCAAATATCATCGCTTTGACGACCTCTTCCCTGAGGGCTGAATTTCCGCAATGAGCATACGTTCCTTGACGAAGATCAAATGAAATGGTTGAAAGGCACTTGGATGCATATCAATCCCGGTGCACTGATTTCAACTAGTTGAAAGCTGCTTCATGGCAGAATCACGTGCGGGTCATGTTCAGGAATATGCCAGAACGCAGACCGACGAAAATTGGAACGATCGGTGATCCGTTGCTCTCAATTTAGGCGGGGAACTACACAGATTTTGGGTCAAGTTGTCTCTTGTCAGGCTTCTGGCGATGAGACGACATATGCGGCGACTGAACCGCAACGCTCTTGCCCATTCGGCAGCCCGAGGATGAAAAAACTCGCCAGGGGCACTTGATGGCTGTGATGTTGGCCATCCGCTGCTGCAGCGTGCTGCAGCTGTGTGTATGTGTGTTTGTGTGTGCTTTATCAAGGAAATCCTTTACCACCCAAAAAAGCAGATTTCAGCCAAATAGGTTAAACAGGGTCTTTGGGTGCTCGGCCTTGGTAGCTTGGGCCTTTGGACTCCCTGGGTGGGCTCTGAGTGTTAGCTCATCTTTGGCAGGCAATGCCAATGACGCAAACGAGCAAAGGGGGTAGAACGAAGCCGCTGCAGTGTGCGTGGTCACCATGTTGGGTGCTCAGCTGCGCCCCGTTTTGTGGTGCGCCTAGATGCCTCAATCCGGCGAGGCGGTTCATCATTCCAATGCAGTGGATTTCTACGATAAGCAACGCTTTTATGATAACAGCTCGTCTACAGTAAACGCATTTCGCAACGGGCCCCAAGTCCGTCTGAGAGAGAACAAGCATGTGCATACTCGCGTCACAACAAAACTGATCACGGCCCCCAGATCGTGGCTCCGAGTTGCCGTTGTACTTGAGCAAACCCATCTGGCCGTTGGGATGGCGGTAGCACATCATGGGCGTCAGCGCAATCTTGCTGACAATAGTGAAGGTCACCTGCACCCACAGCAATGACACCAGCAGGAACTGCATTGGACAAACAAACAAGCGGGGATACGGAGGGAGCGGGGATATGGGGGGATCTTCTTGGCGCCATATACAATTAGTCAAGGTGCATCGAACGGGGGAATCCTCTCGCAGCCCTGCTTCCCCCTGTATCCCTGCTAGTTGGTTGACTACAAGCAGGTTGTGTTCGCAACCCGCACAATGGCAACCTGCAGGAACAGTCAGCACAATCACAACATCTCGCCTAACAAAGAGACATGACATCCTCGACAACCATGCAACGGTCATATAACCGAACCGGATCCACACTGCCGAACCGTAAAAGTCATGCCCAAAGACACGGGAGCACAAACCACAACGGCCCACGGCCCAATACACGAGGCCAACCCTGCACGGACCCAGCGCCCGCAAACCGCACACCGCAAGCCGCAAACCGCAAAACCCAAAAACCGGGTACACCCGGCTGCGCACATCGGGCTGCATTTTTTTGACACCTTCTAGCTCCGAGGATCCAAACCAAACATGGAACAAAACATCCACGGCCCAACTGCAAAAAAAAAAATGTTGTCCAGATCTAATCAACTCAGGCAACTCAGGTTGTACCCTTTGCGCGTTCCCTCCCCCTTGCAACATGAACGGCCTCCCCACCTGACAGACCTGGCCCATGGTGCTGAGCATCTTCGCGGGCTGGAAGCGGAATCTATGCGGCAGCATCTGGCTTAGCACGCCTGGGCTTGCGCCAGCCAAGTGGCTGTGGCTCAACCAAAAGGAAACCAAACTCGCACCTCGGATGGAGACAAAGACTAAAACCGCAGGTATCCCAGCTGTTTAACTTTGAGCCACGCCCAAGTCTTGCCAAATCGGTTTAACCATACACCATGCACGTTCGTTATGATCGTCGCAGGGCTGCAAGTCCGTTGCAGGAAACCACTCAGCACACCACACCAAATCAAAGATCCCTTCAGGCATGAACAAGCTCCGAAACTGTACGTTTGAGCTTGAGGCGCACGCAGCGTCAAACAGGGCCTTGCTGCAGCTTGTTGCGATCTAAAAAAATGTATGGTTATTTGGGTCGAACCAACGCCACTCTCAAATATAGACCAAACGCAGATCAACATGGGGCCCAACAAAGACCTCATGTCTAGAGGAAACTGCATGTGGGCGCTTCATTGTTGGGGTTCCATGTTAACTTGCAGGGTAAGTGCCAACCGCTTCTGGGGGCAAGACGTGATACTTGCGGAACACACATGCGTTGTCGCTAATCCAGCACTGGCTGCTCAGCTTTCGGTGTGGCACGCTGACTGAATGCAAAGCAAGAAAGACTTGAGAAATGTAGTGCTTGATGTAGCGAAGTCCGCATCACGCGACATGAATGATCATCTCTTATACTGATTCCTGTTGGGAGATGACCAAGCGGGCGTGAAGATGACCCACGAAACCTTGGAAGTACCCGCAGATTGAGAAGTACGCGGTGGAGCTGAGCGAACGCCATCACTTCAACAAATCCATGTTGCATTCTGTGCGTTCGTCCTGCAAACAATGCCTGGTCAAAAGTGGTACATGTCCCGGGACACTGCTGGTACTTTGCTTCCATTTGCAAAAGGTCCCTGGAAAAAAAACATATGTCCAGTAAAGTGATAGATTCCCTGTAAAACCAACAAGGGGAAACACACCTGGCACTGTGTGGCCTATCAGAGCGGACAGAAACGGGGTGTGGAGGGTCTGCGCCTTTCACCCATGTCCAATAACCCTTTTCCGTAGCTGACATCATTGAAAGGGGATCAAAGAATCTTGCAAACCCTAAGTGTTCACCTCACAGCCCCTGGCTGCCATTTCAATCACCAAAACCCAAGTGCTAACAAACCCCAAAACCAGCTTTAAATTCGCTCAACCTTAAACACACCCAGTTTTCAAGCACAAGCTTTTCAACCAACCCCCCGGTTTTTTTTCCACCGAGTTGTGGTCAGCCCTTGGCACCCCTCATGGTGCTGAACCAAAAGAAGGGTCCGAGCTGCCGCAGAGAAGGATCCACAGCATGGCCGCGGGCAGAGCCAAGCAGTTGATCACATAGCGCGTGCTGGGTCTGGAGCTGAAACAATCAAAGCCTAGCGCTTCGTTGCGACCCTTGGACCCTTGGACACGATTTAGGTGGGGTCATGCCCACTAACCAAATCTAAGGGATTTCTCCGCTGCCACGTCGAATGAACAGTGTAACCAACATCCGAAACAGAGACAACAGCTCACACACACACAAAACACAGGAAATCACATGCATTGGAGACATGGACTACGTATCTCAGTATACCATATGATGATAATATCAGCAGACCTGATTTTGCGTCTATGCCTTGCCATGGCCTGACTCCTGGTTCCTGCTTGCGTAAAGGTCGCATGGGTAGTGAGGTCGAATCCGAGAAGCACTGATGCCAGCTGACCAGCCGCTCGATATTCGCTTCTCAACAACATGTGCAGCATCAGCTGCTAAACCACCAAACTTGAAGGGTCCCATAGATCAAATAAATATTTGCCAACCCCATAAATGCGGCAAATGACCGAAACAGGCCTGGCTCTGACTGCTCAACCGGAATGCGCAGTGTGTGGAACTGTCTTGTCGGGGTCAACAAACAGGGTTTGGGAGTTTCAGGGAAAATAATGAGCAAAACCATAGAAAAGCTTTTTTTTTGGATTATTATTCTAAGAGATTAGATAGAACTCCCACACCAGTTCTCTGGGCTTTTGAGAAGTGGAAGTTTGTTTTTGATGGCAGGGCCAACACGTTTTAGGTGTGTTGGTAAAAAAACAGTTTTAAGAGGGTCTGGGCGGGAGAGAAACAACAGGGGGGCCGCTTCCTTTCAGTCAATACGCGGCGTGACTAGCCCTTCAGGTGCATCCCAGGCTAAATCTACAAGGTTGAGCCGCCACATGTAATAGGCAAACCCCCCCCCAAAGAAATAGAAGCTACTGTTATAAGGCCTAATAGTATACTTGCTCTTGTTCGATCCCAATGGCCATTTTAGGCGATTTCGATCTCAATTTCATAGGATGCTGAAGCTCATTGGAATTTCTTAGGCTAGAGCAAAGGGCCAAAGAAGGAATCACAGCTTTGATTGACTCGACACCACAATGTTGGCTGGTTTGTTGTCCAAAAACAATCAATGACACCCCGTTGGACATGAATACCAGGAACCGGAAAGCTCTATAGGAGCCATAACAAAAACAAGAACAATTCAATTGCAAACCTAATGCCCTAGAGCATCAAAAATGCAACAACACACGTGTCCAAAGCAAATATGTGTTGCGCATGCAGTGGGGTGGATGGATGCATCTAAATGCATTTCCCACTCCAGTGGATTTCTGTGAAAAAGCAAGACACCTTTCTTCAGAAATACCAAGCATTCGGGTGGGTCCCAAAAAGGAAACAACATCGCAATCCTCGCCAAAGAACAAGGGAAGCAATTGACTCGCCCTGTTGACTCCGCAACAAGCTCTATTAACTTCTCGTGGGTTTAAATCCGCTGTTTCCCGAACAGTTAAAGTCTAAAGAACCGTTACCAAATGGGGGTTGATCAATATTCCTGGCCCACAAGTGACTATGGGACACTTCTCCTTAGTGGGACATATCAACTCTTTTTAGTGGTTTCCAACCAATGCTCATCCCCTGTTCAGAGGACCTCTTGATCAGCTCCCAAATGGCCACACAGCCATGCTGAATCGCGGCTGGTGTCGGAAAGCGCGTGCTTCCGCTCCTGCCTGCCCGCTCTTGCGAGTCAGCCATTTCTGCGGGCAGGGTGTGGTTCATCGACATAGCGAGCTTGATTGGGACGTGGGTTGGAGGGTTACGGCTTGCAGCGGATCGGAGGATGCAAGGATGCGCATTTATTTCACGATGAGCTTGTATAGTTTTCCTTTTCTCAGATGCCCAGTGGCCAGAAGAAAAAAAAAAAAGCAGGGCATCCTTTTTTGGTTGGTACAGTTTAAAGGAATCGGAACCCGGCCCAAAAAAAAAAAGGGAATGAAAAAGGGAAGCAAACCACTGGTTGCAACTGGGTTTTGACTTCATGGAGTCCAATCAAACAGCCATAAACCCATAGTCCTTTTGGCGGGTGGCTTGGTTCTTTTCCCCCCTTTTTGGAGCCCATGGAGTCGCTCGGAGCGTCCACTTTTCTTTTTTGGCCCGAGGAGCCCATGGAGTCCAGGTCCAAGAGCACGAAGCTCGTGAGGTTGAAGATCCACTGCAGCTCCGAGGGCCACTGGAAACTGATCAGCCCCACGATGCCCACACTCCTCATGAGGACTCACGGATCCCCTAAAGAAGCGGAACGCACCACCTGCCTTCATTTGATGACTTGTCGCTGTCCCGCTTCTCTTTGTTTTTGTGTTTTTGCTTTGTTTCTTTTGTTGGGGGAGGGAGGGGGGGGGAGGGGAAGGAAAGACATCCTAGCGTGAAGCTCAGCTGGGCGATGTCAAGTACTTTTAGCTTGTGAAGCATTTTTCAGGAGTCACATGCTACATCGCATGCGTTCTGCCGTTTGGAATGTGCTTGGGTTCTGATATATCAGGCATCGGTGAGTGGGTATGTTCTGTTTGTTTGTTTTCGGCAGGGGAAGCAAACAGGTTGCCCCGCCATGCAAATTTTGGAGGACACCTCAGGCACACCACGCCGCTATGACGATGACAGGTGAAAGCCGAACTGCCCCCAGCCGTGTGAATCATTTGATGGTTGTTTGGGGTATTCAGTGGTTGCCTTGACCAACTGCTTGATGGCCATTGGGCTTTCGTCCGCTGTTTGTGTTCTGCGAATTGCCGCCGGGGCGCTGTAGCATGGTGATGGTCATGGCCAACACACAGGTGGTCGCCAGAAGGGTGCTGGCTTTGGCCGTGGCCGTTGAGTTCAGGAGGTAATAGGACCTCAGGAGCTGCCTCTGGGGGAAAAAAATCAGAACGCAAGGAGGCTGAATAGGGGGCCCACACCAACTCGGGAGAAAAAAACAACTTTCCAGCCCTTGACGCTGCCTTTTTTTAGCATAGGGGAGTGTGCCAAGCCTCCGGAAGCTATCAAACAACGGTGGAGAGCTATGAGTTGGAGACAATCTTCCTAGGATGGGTTCCTGTTAACGCAAAACGCATTGCCGCACTCAGAAGCCCGGCCATGGGAAAAGGGCGCCTGTAGCAAATCCTTCCACCAAAACAAATGGACCTTATGGTCAACTCAAACCTCCTTGGGACAAAGCAAAGGCGCAGGAAGAGGCAGACCATGCCCATGGCGAGGCCCAGGAACCAGCCGCCAGAGCCGAGGCCGGAGCATGGCTGGCCTAACCCAGGCCAGCAACCAAACGAAAGATAGAGATATAGCCAACCCTAGTTCCAGTTTTAGTGAGAACTCACTAAAACCACATAGGCTTAGATGCGAGTGAGCTGGGAGAAAGTCGGACTTCACTTTGACAAACATTGGCGCAATCTACGGCTTGAGTTTTGGGGGATTTTTTGGACATCATTCATGTGAGGATTTCTGCGAGGGGGTTCACCATTAAAAGTCATCGCCATGTGGTCTCGCAAATGTCCCCAGCACCTCGAGTAAAGTTGACTGTAGCCACTCAGCCACGCTGGAATTGTTGCGAGGCATTGCGCGCGTCCCCATGTTGTGTCATCTTCAAGCAGCACAGAATCTGCCAAGGGTCACTCCATGAACCCTCCTGTTTGTAAGGCACGGGCGTGTTTCACCGAGACAAGCAGGGCACATGATACCCAACGATCCAGCTTCAGCGACGCCGAAGACGATGACGTTCGACGCCAGAGCAGGAACTATGCGAACGATGACCACGGCAACAAGTTGCATCGGCGAGATCCACTGCGCTGCGCAATGAGCAGCCCCATCTAAGCACAGCAAACCCCCGGATCAAGCGTCTCCATCAGCCTGGGTCTGAACATTGGGCCGACAGAGATCTCCTAAAGTCTCTTTGCATGGCCGCGCTCTCAAAGGCTATGGCGCCTGCCGGAAAATTGGGCCACGCAATTCGAATGGTTCTTATCCTTACCAGTTCGATGACCATCCCTATGGATCTCAAGGCACATATGAACCTTTGCCCAGCCCACGCAACTTGGTCAATGAGTCGTCCTGACCTCAAAAAACACCGTGGCCTTGTGGCTGGAAAACATTCGACCACAGTCCAGTCCAGTGACTGGAGGCTCTACCGTCATGGCGCCATAAAACGGATCTACACATTTTGTTGTATACACGTGTATTATATGTATATATCGTCAGTATATGAAACATGTAGACGCACGCCATGCTTGCCAGTACACTTGGCGGCAGAATTTCCTACATGGCAAAGAAGCTGCGCCCGCAATCGGACGATCGGGGCGCTACTGCCTCAAAAGGAACGCCATGGCCTTGGTGTCCTTTTCCCAAAGCATCTCTAACATTTTAGGAACATGCAACCCAACACTCAGAGGGTCCCTTTCCGTCCAAACAACAAAATGCCATTCTCCCACCGACTTGGCCTGCAAGACCCGTTTTCCTCTTCAAGGGACCCCTGTCAGGTGGCATTTCAACCTGGCAGAGAGCGTAGCCTTCAAAAGCCGCCCAATCCGAGGCCGAGGGGCAGCTTTGCCCATCCCAGCTCTTCCCCTCCTCACACCCGCTGCAGGGCAGGCCCACGCGCCCTCCCGTGCAATTTCCAGCGGAGCCACCAGGGCAATAGTCGGCCGGGAGGCACCTGGGAGAAAACTGGGTGTCGTTCTTTGAGGCTTCCCTTTTTGAGGCGGGACACCACTTAGTTTGGAGCTTCCCTCAAACAAAGACCAACCCAACCTGCCCAAAGTTGTCAGAGGCCTGCGTTTGACGGATCCCTTTTCGTTTTGGCTGGCATCGCTCTTCTGACATCTCTCCCGGCTCACCTCCCCCATTCCACTTCGGAAAGCCCCGTTTTTGTTGCTTCCTGGAAGGTGCCCGGAGCTTGCTGTAAGGGCAGCTTTGCGACGCTCTGAAAACGGCAATGAAGCATCTATAATACTGTGGATGGTTGCGAAATCCATGTCGCACCACCTAGAGAACCCTGGAAGGATTCGATTCTCCCTTTAAGTCGCAACAAACAGTGGTTTCAACCATGGTTGCAAAGTGGTGCAACATTTCGTCCATCCACAGTAGCTTTTGCCTCGGAGTTCTGACTCCTAGCTGTGCGACACATCTTCCTGCCAACGGGTCAACAGAATCCTGCGGGTGCCTTTGTTTGTTGCTGTGAAGTAGGAATCCCGCAAAGAACCAACCATTTGCATGCCAAACAGGCTTGCACCACGTAAGGTCAAAGATCAAGGTCATCATGGTGGAACCTGACCCAAACATGCGAGTCAAAGAACCAACCCTACTTCCAGGCACTTGTACATCTCAAAAGGCGACGTCGTGTCCGCGTAGAAACCTCTCGCGGAGCGAGGCAAGCTCAGAACCAGCAAGATGCTCTGCCTTCCAATCTCTATGCTTCTTGACCGATGTGATGGATAAACATATTCAAAGGTAGTTGCATCTCCAGGAACGGGTCCAAGCCCAACATGCAATCTGCTAGGTAGACAAAGGACCACATCGACCTCAGCTTTCTTGTGTGCTCTTCGTTCTGGGGAGTTCGGCATAGGATCCAAATGCCTAGCAAGAAGCAAGGTTCTCGGGACATGCGGTCATTTAAATGGGAGAGATGTTTCTTTTTTGGGAGAATGCTCTTCCGGACGGACCATGCAAACTCTGGCGTAGACAGAATCTACTAGAATCTATCAATCATACCTCAAGGGGATGCTTTACGCCCCAAAAAGGCGTGCAGCTTGCCACTGAAATGGTTCGGCTGACTACAGTAGATGATCAAATGCTCAAACTCCAGACCTATTGAATCCTGCGCGCACGCCGCACCCCAAGTCTCAATGGAAACGTCCACGCTCACCTGGTACATTTGGGGTTCGATTTGTTTCGTCTGCCGGGCCCTCCAGAACATCGGTCCAACATTGAGATTTGAAGGCGGGGGGGGGGATATGGTGAAAGGATTGAATAATGTGCCCATCTACTACCGTTGCATTCTTCGGCAAATGATTAGAACCTAAGTGAGACCAATGCCATCTATTCTCAACCAATGTCGCATGACAAGGGAGGCATCTCTATGCTTGTGATGGCCTGGCCGGCGAGTGCACTTTGAGCTTTTCTTGAGTATTCTCTGGTTGGTGTCGTTTTGAAAATAATCCAAAGGGGAAATCAACCACTTTGGGGGGCTGACTTTCAAAGGACCTCATGAGGTCCCGGCCTTTGCGGATGATGGGCTGCTCCCCTTCCTCGCAGTGCAGCCCCTCCATGCACCACACGCAGGAACCCTGCTGGAAGCGGTAGCCGTCGGAGCAGTGCACGCAGCTGCCCTGCCACAAGTGACCTGCCGACGTTTCTGCAGACGTCACCCACAGGGGAAAGAGAACGCAGAAGGTCTTCTTTCGGCAAAAAAAACACTTGGGCGATTGGGCAAACACGTTTGGTTGTGGGTCAAAACCTAAGGTGCCAAAATTGGGGATGGTTACCACTCCACTGTCTTTTTGGAAGGCTTTCTGGGTGTGTCACCGGGGTTTTGACCCGTAGCCATTTTTTGGTGACTCACTTATGTGTCTTTGTCACAGACTCACTTTATAGACTCACGCACTTCGGTGAGAGAGCGCCCATGGATCCAGCCCTGAATCTCCAGCCATAGCCAAGCCATTGGACCAGCGATGGCTCAGCGATGGCTTACGTGGACCAAGAGTTGGCAACCCCTTGATGCACCTCTATTCTGGAAATGGAAGGTACCCCTAGATCTATAGCAGGAAACAAAGGAAGCGACCCTTCATAATCCAAGACTTGCAAATTGCCAGTTCCTACTCTTGTGGTAACACTAATAACTGGGATCCACTGGGCAACACGCAGCGTCCGCCGTCCGCCCGATTTGGCTTCGTCGATCCTGTGCAAATGCACGCGGACTCGGAGTTGGCGCCCTCGAAATTGGTGCTGCGGCCGGAAGGACACTCACGGCACTGGCCGAGGCCTTCCTCCTGTGTGTACCGGCCTGGCAAGGGCAAATTGCCACGGGGAATCGATGGAGCGGTGCCAATTCCGATTTTCAAAATGGATTTGCTCGGGCTTGACCTTTGTAGAAAGCAATCCCTGAGTCGCCGCGATTCTGGGACTCCCCTTTTTGGGGTGTTTTTCTTTTTTTTTCAAGGGAAGTCACCAGGAGGGCGGGTTTTAGGCGGGCTTAGGTTGGTTTTAGCTGGGTTCAGGTTTCTCCCATGCCCGCGCCATGCCCCCGCCTTTGGGGCAGGCAATGCACTCTGTGGCACCGAAGCTGGCAACTGCAGAGCCAGGTGCACAGTCCTTGCCTGAGGGCTCCCATGACCGCGAAAATTTCAGCTCTATTTGCGCATCTGGGGATTGGATTTTTTGTTGGTGAGGGTGTCGCAATTACTGCGCCCACAATGGTGTCCGCAAAAGTGCGTGATCCACGCCGCACTTGGCTCATCATCATTGAACTGTACTGGGCGTAATTATGGCTTGCGTGAGCGACGCATTTACATATCATGTCCAAAGTCCACATCTTGCTGCGTGTGTTGGGCCGATGCAACACATGCTGAATGCCAGCGAAGCTGCACATGCTGATGTACAATGCCATGCACAAAAGACAGCTCAATTGACTAGGTCCCCCAGCTAGGTGCCCTTTTACCCTGTAGTAGGGGGAGGGTCCCCTACTAAAATAGACTACAGAAGAAAAAGGGTACCCTTATTCTATCCTCTCTACTGGAGGACCTAGCCTCAGAGATGGCAACATGTGTCACTCGCACACGTAGTTTCAATAAGAAAATATCGCTGCGGATCGAACTGAGATGCAACGACTATGTCAAGAAGCCTTTTTGTTCATTGGCCAGCCTGTCGCCCAAACAGATTTGGACCCTGGCTACATATATTAAACACATGTTCACCGCAAATGTGTAAGCAAACCCCATTTGGTTTGCACAGAAGTGAGCTGACGAAACCATGACCAGCTATGATCTTTAACGCTACACTTTATCACAGCAGTTCCTGGTCTGTGTTGACCAACAAACTTTTCTGTCGGCATCGACTGGTCCGGAAACTACTGTCCTCTGAACAACCTCAGTTGTTTGGGACCGCCATAATTTCTGCAGGGAATCCTGATGTTTGTTGTTTCCGGAAAACAAAATCCAAATAGCCCATTGAAGCCTTCAGGCTGGTGTTGACGCTGAAACTATTCCAAAGGCTTCCCCCAGTTTTGGCAAGCATGGTGCGGTCGGTCTCTTGCTTTCCAGTCTGGAACGAACCTTGACAAGTCAAACGCGTGTGATTCATTGGTCAACCTCGCCATCCCGGCTCATCGGCGTGCCTTTCGGGCGCGCGTTTTTTTGACTTTTCGGGGAAAGCCAAAGGGAATCCCCGGAGAACACCCCCCGATCAAACAAACAAAAGGGTAAATGGCTTTCCCCCAAAGGGAATCCCCTCGGTTTGACTTTTCAGGGAATCCCCGGAGAGAACTAAAAACAACAAACGAAGCGGCAAGCCGGGGGTCTGGAGAAACCTTTCCGATCAAACCTTCCGAGTCACAGAAGCGCGCGCCCTCTGCCTTGCCGCAGCTGCCGGGCTCACACTCCTCGGCCGATCCGGCAGATTGCCTGCACTCAGAGCAAAATTTGACCAAGTAGAATCAAGTCCAAAACGGAGGTTAGGAGGTTTTGGACGTTGCACAAATAGAATCAAGAGGCTATCTTACATTTACAAGCCTCCTGTGGTTCAAGAGGCAGTTCTTGATTGAAAGCCGCATGGCGCCCTGTTTTCCGTGGCAAATACGTCTTGAACCAACATCCCGGGCGGGGCAATTGGAAAAGCAGCCGGGCGAGGCAATTGGAAAAGCAGCAAACAATGTCCACATACGATTAATAAATGTTCCCCAAATAAAGCTTTTTGGGGGCCCCGATTAATAAATGGGTAAATAGAGCTTCTTTGGCCAGCCCCTTCAACTAGTATTCCCAATGCTTAGTTTAGTATTGGTATACTTTTCCAACTTTGTTTGAGGGACCTCAGTTGTTTGGGGGGGGGCCTTGAGGTGGACCACATGCTTCAATGCCCTTTCGAATGGTGCTCGACTTTCATCAATCTACAGCATACATAAGATACTTCACGCGCACTGTTTATCAGTTCTGTGGTTTTGGCAAGGCACAAAGCAGCTGTCCAGGCCCGTCTGGTTGCCAAAGGAACCCATGGCACACATCTCGCAAACGCCGTCCTGCTTTGCAAAAGCGAGAGAGAGAAAGAGAGAGACTTTCGGAGCAGCTACACTCAGGCTGACATCCATTAGCTTAAGTCCTCTGGACAAAAAACAAACACATTTCCAGTAGTGAAATCGATTCCCTTTGAAAACTAACAGGGGAAAGTAAGACTTATTCATTGCAGCAAATGGAAGCTGAAGGGAAAGGCAATCATAATTTGCCTAGTCTGCTTCGGAACGTGTTTTCTCTCCTCTCATGCGCAAAACAGATCAGCATTAACGGGGGATGGCATGCTCCTCCCCATTTTGCGCAGCTGTTCAACCTCTCGTTTGCATAGCTTGGTCTTTTGACTCCAGGCAATGGCACGAGAGCCAGCTTTTCCTCAACAACTCCAACAGGGCAACAGCACTCCCATCGGCTGCCACGTCGTCCAGAATGCTTCTGCTGTTTGCTTGCTGGGACTGACTTCCCAAAGCTTCTAGAAATTGCTGTGCATATTTTCGTATGTTGTATTGTGTTTACACACGGATTTACGGTTTGTACTTCTTGCCCGCTTCAGATGCATGACTTCAGCAGTATTTCAATCGATCAACAGGCAGCCACACCTCTGCCAAGCCAACAATGCATTGTTGGCTATCCTGACTCGTGACATGAGCGCTACTGCCTCAGAGGCTCAGCGAATCCCGGTGAGTCATAGACAATCACAACTCAGATGCCAGGATGCCCCGTTGCCTTCCATGGGAAAAAAGGCATCCCTTCCTGGGTTGGTTGAGTTTAAAGGGACCCCTTCCCCAAAACAAAGGAACAAAGGGCGCCGCTGGGCAACTGAGACCTTGGGTCCGTCCTGTTCAAAGGTACCTTGACTGCAGGCGACGCATCCCAGCTGCAAGCTCCACACGTAGCCGGCCGGGCACTGGCTGCTACGGTCCTCAGGATGGCCGACTGCCATGAGGCGAAATTCCCATCTCCTCCGTGGATCTTCCCTCCTGTAACCAGATTGCCTCAATGAAAGACCTTGGTTTGCAGAAACCCTGGCATCATGTTGGAGGACATCCAGGGGGTTGCTAAAGATGTGAGGATACATGCCATGGTCCAACCGTGACTGATGGAAGGCACCACGCTTTGATACCATTTGAGGTTGGTGTTCTTCAACCCCCTTACATAGCACCCTCAACACGGAGCGCAAAGGGTCAATTGGAATGCAGAGTGCCAAGCAGGTTTTGACAAGACACTTGCACTTGCTTCCTGCTGGCACGGCCCCCATCCCCCAATCGGCGAACAAGACCAGCAGGACATCGAGGACACAAATTATATCAGCATAGACCCCAAATAGCAGGAATGTGTTGTCAGCCAACGAACTAAAGATACTCATTCCCATACACACGGCGCTGCAGCAGCACAATGTTGAGTCTCGTCCTGCAGCAGCACTTGGCCTTCATCTTGCAACAGCACCCTTCAGCAGCGACCTGCAACAGCACCCTGCAGCAGCACCCTGCGAATCTTTGAGACTGGCCTCTGCAACAGCGCCCAGCAACAGCACCCCGCACCCTACGCAACTCGGAGTCTCGGCCTGCAAGAGCCCAAGTCAGCACCCTGCACAACAGCACCCTGCGGCAGCAGCACCCTGCAACAGCACCTGGCCAGAATTCTGAGTCTCGCCGACTCCTGCTTTACTTGAAGTTAGAACCTTGCAAATCGGCAACCCCCTTCCTGGCATAGACACATGACTGGACTTGCATTTGCTACGCTCATGAACATCAAAAGCAACCAAGCAAGCATCTCGTGATGTGAAGAGTGTGCGCCCTTGAGAATGAGAAGGAGCCTTTGTGCTCTTTGCTTTGGCCTGTACGTAAGGCAAGTTGATGAACATGCACATACACACACACACACACTTCAACTCCCGAAGGAGAGATCTCATCTTTCGAGTACAACCGGTAAGTTTCAAGTGGGTAGGTATTCGAGTGGCGAGACCGATGGCTTCCCTCTAGAATCGAAAACGTTACCAGGACAGACAAGAAGCACACACAGCCACAAAAAGACTTTAAATCACTGATGCAGGTACGTCAATCTTGCGTCCAAGATTGATATCACAGGCAAAAGCAAAGGTCTTCGTTGGTGCCCCTGCTGAAAAACAGAGTCACGACGAGAAAAGTGGTGTCAGGGTGGGTCAAGATCTTCGTGCCTGGAGAAGTGCAGACTTGGTACCAAAATAATGCCACACCGTTTCTGCCCAGCAACGCATATCGGGTGTGGGAACCTGTGCTACCTGAAGGACCTGAAGGTGATGCACTGCCGGGCCCTGATGGAGAACATCAACAACATGACTGGACACAACTGAACATTACCCATGAGCTTTGTCAAGGTTTCCAACGCATTCTTCGCATTCTTGCTCACGACAAGTCCTTTGCTCTCCACACACAAACAACTACGTCTTGCGTGGCCTCTTCCACCTATTCACACCACGGCGATCCTTGAACCTCGTCTTCTGAGCATGTTTGCGCAGGTCGGGACTCCTCCCGATCACCACGCCACTCAAGACCTTTTTGTCGACATTAGGATCACTGTCAGGCGTCCTCCGCATTGAGAATGCTCCAGCCAAGGTTGCCGGCCGAGATGATGATCACCAACAAACCCATCACGTTCAACTTCCATGACTCAGAGACACAGGACGCAAAGGACTGTTGCGACGCCAATATCTCAACAGCTGAAGCAACCAAGAGAAAGGAACAACGCAAGATAAGAAGGCACACCAAACACCGATCAAGCCAAGTTCAGAAAACGGATACCTTTTTATCAGCCATGTGCACAATGAGTCACTCCATGCCAGCATCAAAAACAGGTTTTGTGAGAGAGGAAGCACTGCCGGCCGGGTGGGCGATCATATCTGGGCGGTGACGACGTGGAACTCAGAGACGGCTCAGACTGGTTGATGTCCGCGCAAGGAGGATGAGAATGTGATGTATCTTGTTTGTCACGCGCCGCCACATCAAGCTGCTTCTGAATGTAATCCTGAAGGCGCGTGAGGTCATCAGAGGAAAACGCTGCTGAGTCGGTCGATTGAAGCGTTGCTTCCAGTAGTTGAGGGCAAACTTCCACCGTGGATGATTGTGTCGCAGCATTACGAACCCAAATGGGCTGCGGTCATCATCAGGTTGGCTGCGTGGACCTGTTTCAGGGCCAGCCAAAAGACCAAAAACAACATTGCTGCAGCCCACTCGTCAACCAGCCAGCCAGCCAGCCAACCACCACTACTGCAACTATCCAAGAACACTGCAATTTGGCAATTCCCTACACTGACCCCTCACATGTTTCAAAGGAACCCATGCCGCACAGAGGCATGCGTTTGCCGAAAGTCTTACGACATCCGCTGGAAAATGTATCTCAGGGTATCTTCGTATCTATGCGTTTTTGTGTTTGTGTTTGAGGTGGCCATTTGGGGTGACTATAAAGGGAAACCACAAAGCAAACCCTCTCCGGTAGGTTCACGGTTGAATGGGAGAGCAAGGCTTGCAATGAAAACTATGTTCAACTCATAATGATAACGATTGTGGGAAGACTGCGGCCGCTAGATCTCTTTTTGCTACTCTATATCACCAAGCCATCATCAGTCAAGCTGGATAGCGCCTCCGCCCGGGACGATCACCTGCTTCAGCTGAACGGCCGCCAGACTAAGGCGTCCGTCTGCAGTCTTCCTGTTCGGCATTCCCTTGGAGCGTGTTTTAACCGCCAAACATCCGCCTGTTTGCAACATTCTTGCTCATGATTCGCAAAATGAGAGCAAGCCCCTTGCTTGCTCACCCCGAGAAGCAAATGTGCAGGGTTACAGCCCCCTTTCAAAGAATGGCTGACCCAACTTGGGAGATGAGATTGAAATATCTTTTACATCAGAGAAAGGATTTCGGAAGTGAAGCCAGCCTCACGTAGCATTTACCAGCATCTCAAGCCCAACGTCATCCTTGGCAGCATGGCACAAGAAGCCTCGCCGCTCCGCACGCTCGGGCTCCCATGACCTTCCTTCTTGACAATGGCATCCAGCTTTTGCGTGGAGCCATTGAACAGAACCTCGTAGGGGTGGCTAAGGGCTGGGTTTCCTGTTTGCTCCCTTTAAAGGCAAGTTAAAGCAGCGCCGTCAAAGAAACACAGAAGAAGGATATGAACACCTTATTATTGTTGGTGTGCATGGACATGGCGGCCAAGGAATCAAGAGGTTGTTGGTTGATTGTTGAAATGAGACTGGTTTGAACAACCACGTTTCTGAGGCCTAGTTGCAAAGTTGGCTCCAGCCAGACCCAAATCTATCCCTGAAAGCAAGCCCCAACCAAGTTTTTTGTTCCATATACCTCGTGTGTGTGTGTAAGCCTTTGTTATTGGTTACTGGTCAGTAAATCCAGGCCCTGCTCCCTGCGATGTTGATTTCTCTTGGTGTTGCAGTCTTTTGGCTGGCCCTGTGTTTGGGGCACTTCTTCCACTCCCTGTAGGCAAATTGAGGCGGTCGGTCATTGTTGAAGCCACTCTGCATCCAAGGACCAGGATGAAAAACTTTAAGCCATGGAGCATCCGGTTGTTGAGGATCAGGGCACCATTCCAACTCAACCGCACGCAATTTGGGCAAGAAAAGGGACGGAAAAAGCTCACGGATTGGGATGTAGTTGGCCGCCGAAACTGTTTGTGTAACGAAATCGAGGTGGGAAGCGAAATTGAATCTCCCATAAAGTCAACAAATGTTCACGACAACCGATCTTGCGAAGTATTCTGTGCACCCAGGGAGCATTGAGAAACGGCCGTAAAGCATACTGCCATTTGCTCTCCTGAGCCCAAACAGAGAACATAATGAAGAGCAGGTTTGAAAAACGCGTGATGGCATCCAACCAGTTGCAAATATGTGCGACACCTGGGGTGTTCGCGGTGAAGCACGTCCTGGTCAGTCGCTCCAACATAGTAGGGTGTAAACCAAGGTGACAGCCTAATGTACACACAAGGCTGTTGGAAATGCCCCGGGTCCTGTAAGAAATCCTCCAGATCAGGAAGACGAGAGCGTAGGGCCTGTGGATGCCGTTGTTCTGCAAATGAGGAGAACATAATGGCGCAGAAGATGGAAGTCTTGTACAAATGAAGAACTTCAAAGAATGCAGGAATGAACCCGTTGTCCTGAACGATGAGCCGCCGCACAAAGCAAATTAGCAGGTAGGCAGACAACCGACAAATGTGCAGTTCAAATCTGTTGACAATCCTGTCGCGTGTATTCGCAAAGGCTGCAGACGGTATCTGCAAAGTGATTCGTGCAAGAATGATGGCCTCAACAATCATGTCGAAGTGGGCCAAGTGATGAATGGACTGAACTTCGGCATCAGGTACTGAGGGGTGAGGGTGATCAGGAAAGGAGAAAGACCAACATGTACAAACAAAGTCCAACGTGCCAAGAAACGAGGATAAAGATTGCCTCCGAGCTACATCATCGAGAATACCGCTATGCCGAAACTCGGTCCACATTTCAACGATATGCTCAAAGCTGGGAGCAAAAAGAATGCAGTCACAGCCAGCGCCAAGGCAAAGATGCAACTCAAGCTGAAATCTAACGCGCACAGTAACGCAAGTCAATGGTTCCAAGTGCAGTTAATGAATCCACCATGGTGCATGTCAAATCAAATCAAGATTTCAAGCAAATCAGCATGTCAAGGATGCATCACGCCCGAATGATATCATACAAGTAAAGCAACAACTCAAGTCGTAATAAGACACACACACAGCAATGCAAGTGAATGAGTCAAACTGCAGCGAATGACTTTGCATGCAGAGTTAAAACAGCAAATCAAGATTTCAACTGCAACTCGAGGCTGCGCCACTCCGCGCTAATAAGCGTGCTGTCACGTACGCTCGCTATGCTAGAAAACGAGCAGTGACAATGAGGATGCAGAGGGCTTTGTCGGTGAGCTTGTCGACGTAAGCCGGCTCCAGGCCCCACATGGCTGCCATCGAGGCAAATGTAGGTGCATCTCCGTTGGCAAGACGATGACGTGCTTGCTGCAATTGAGTGGCAAGCGGGTCAAGGTTCTTGTTCCCGTTGAGTCATGTAGGGTGATTGGCCCATTTGGCCAGGGACTGCGGTGTGGAGGTAGTGGGCGCCTGTCGGCAGAAACGTTTGAGAGTGTCAGCCTCAGTGGGCTTGGTGCAAATGGTCTGGTGATGTTTGGAGAGAAACTCCAAAACCAGGTTTGCCAAGCGTTCATGAACCTTGATCCATCTCAAGGGTGAGCAGGTTAAACGCGCATCGCGTACGTCCATGCCCGCAGTGTTCTCCTTGTTGTTGTGGGGAGGGAGTGTTGGCCACGGTCTCTGGCGTGTGAAGGAAAAAACCGGATTGCGATCCAACATGCCATCACCTGGCGTCCAATCAGAAGGAGGTTGGAGGCAATGCTGAGCCTGTTGAACTTGATGGCGTACTTGAGGAGGTTCAGGCGCTCGAGGACAAGATGACGTACGTAGTGGAACAGGGCTGCTGTGGACAAGGATCACGTGCAACTGGGTGCGGAGGAAAGGGCTGCATGAAGTTCAAAGGCGGAAAGTGATGATAACCAGGAGGGGGATGGAATGGTGGAGCTGGTGTGGACATGTAGTTCATCTGTGCTGATGGAACGGAGGTCTGAGCCACAAATGGTGGATTGGCAAGGTTTTGCCACGCCATCGAGCTGGACCAGTCTGCGCGCTAGGCATTTTGGCCTCTTCTTCGCGTTCTGCACGCCGCTGTACTTTGTGAGGTGGAGTGTAGCTCCTGTCTCTCCGATGCCGAGGTCTCGAGCGATCACGTTCTTCACGGCGAGGCATGGCCAATAGAGACAAAGAATCAAGCCAAAACACACACTTGAGCACAAGAAACCAAGCAAGCGCACAAGAAACCAAGCAAGTGCACAACCCGCATGAGAATTCCGATGCCAGCCATGATAGAGCGGCTGTCTTCCCTTTAGTGAAACCTCGTGTCTGCTTAAATGTGAAATTCCGCTGGTCTATGATCAGAACGTTGAGGTCAAATTGTCCGACGAGGCCGGCACGGGGTCACACAATGCCCCGAGACGGGGTAGTCACGCTTCAACTCCCGAAGGAGAGAGTTCATCTTTCGAGTACAACCGGTAAGTTTCGAGTGGGCAGGTGTTTGAGTGGCGAGACCGATGGCTTCCCTCTAGAATCGAAAACGTTACCAGGACAAACAAGAAGCACGCACAGCGACACAAGAAGGGGCCAAAAGGGCGTCACTGATGCAGGTACGTCAATCTCGCGTCTGAGATTGATATCACAGGCAAGAGCAAGGTCTTCGTTGGTGCCAGCCTTGCTCTGCCCCTGGCACCCCCTGCTGAAAAACATAGTCACGACGAGAAAAGTGGTGTCAGGGTGAATCTGACACTCCGCACACACACACACACACACACACACACGCACGCACGCACGCACGCACGCACACGTACAAATAAAACACACAAACGCAATTACAGCCCAAACGCGCCCTTCGAATCTGGAAAATATTTCAATTCAATTCGGATCCCAAAGACTCCTACGGACGAGGGCTTCTCCCTGAGGCTCTTCTTGTCCAAGGCGCTGCTGGTAAGAAGGCGTTGGCCATGTCGCAGGTGCCACTGCTGCAAGCCACCGTGTGGTTGGCATCTGGGCGCGGCAGAAGCGCACTCAGGGAAAGCCAAATTGTGGGCATGGATACTTCTTGATAGGTCACCCAAATCGGCAAACGCGGCAGACGCTTTTGGCAAAAGCCGCTTTCTTGCTGGGGAGTTGCGTGGCAGACTTCTTGCCAATCAAGTCCTTTGCGAGAAAAAAAAAGGGCAGACGGACATCGGCGGAACCTCGGAATGTGGCGGAAGCAGCTTTCAGCATGTCAGAGTGCTTGTTGCGTTTCGGAGTCTTTTTCTCGCGGGCGGCGTATTTTTTGATTGTCGGCAAAAGTCGGGCCTTTCGGCAGAAAGTTCTGCCGCCGGAGCGTCCAGGTATACATATATATATATATATACATGATCGAGCGGCAACACCTAAGACTACTTTGCACGATTTCGAACGGGAAGTTCCGATTGCTGCACCCAAATATCACGGCCTTTGCCAGATACAAAGCGAAGTGGCAAAGACTTTGCCCGTGTACTGCCGTGAACCAAGGACATTCTCCTCCAGTACAATTCCCGGCTTGGTTTCGGTTTGCAACAAAAAGCATGGAACAAGAAAAATAAGTGGTTGGCTTCCTGTTCTTTCCATTTGAACAGCCGGACGCCACACTGATTCCCACACAACTGAACCATGGCAGCAGGCAAGGACAATCCATGCGCCAGCCAATTGTCGTGCACATCATCTAGTGTCGCTGAGGTCTAACCAACATCCCTACTGTGGATGGACAAAATACTGCACCACTTTGAAACCATGGGAAACCATTGTTTGTTGGTATTTACAGGGGAATCTCACGCAAATGGTTCCGCGTCTGCCAGATGCAAACTTCTAAAGAAGCCACAAACGACATGTGCATCGGCAACATGTCGCATTGACCTGCTTAGATATCTTGCAAGTTGCTCTGAGGATCCCTTTGTCCAACCAACCCTACCTACCAGGAAGTCAACGACAAACCACATATCAACAACTAAGCCCAGGGAGCATCCTCGGCGAAGAAAAGAAAGCAACGTATTTCCTTCAGGACTTGTTTGGAACACGTCCAGGACACCCTCCATTTTGGCCTCACCGCTGTCTCGGGCCAAAGGGAAACAGACCCCCGCAGCCTTCCTGACGCCAAGCTTCTTGTGCTCCACACAATGTCAGCCTCCCAATGGAAGACCCCGGCAGTCCAGAAGCAAAGCGTCCTGCAAGGCTTGGGCGAACCTTTTGGTTGACCAAACACATCTAGGTCCTCCAGGAGAGAGGCTAGAATGAGGGTGCCAACTTTTTTCTCCTCCAACAAAAAACAGGTAAAGGGCACTACTGGGGCCTAGACATAGGCGCAAAGGTTCAGCCGACTTTTGCACGGTGAATCTGTGGCCTCTGGCGGTGGCTCCCTATACTTCCCCTTGAAACATCACCCCAAGGGACACTCACCTTTCATGGGCTAAAAAGGTGATGATTAAAGCCACCACAAAGGGAAATCCAGCGACCGCTGTGTGAGCCAATGCTTCACCCCAAAGAACCCGTCCTGTGCGCATCGTTCACGGGCCCGGTCCATTGCCGCATCGTGAGATAGCCCTCACGATCACCATGAGAGGGTGGATAGGTCACAGGGTCGATGGCATTGAACTGACGAACGCGCCCTGGCACAGTCGCACAGGCCGGTTGCATTCGCATTCGTGTCTTAATGTTCTCTGTGTCTTCCAAATACTGAAAAACCGGGATAAATGAAGCCTTCATGGGCAAGGTTGAATCCGCGGGTTGCTCCCAATCATTTGCGCAAGCAGTTTCAAGCCGGGCTTGCAGACGCAACCAACCGCCAAATGTAAAATGGCGGAAATCGGCCCGTACTGAATTTGCGGGGGCAGTTTAGCCTTCAGAGATTTGGGATTTCTACACTTGTATTTCTACTAGGTCCTTGTAGTAGAGAGGATAGAAAAAGGGTCCCCTTTTTTCTGCAGTCTGTAGGGGACCCTCCCCAAAAAAAGGAAGAGAAGGGCACCTAGCTGGGGGACCTAGTCTAGGAGTAAAAAAGCTCGGAATCACATTGAAACGCCACCCCCTGAAACAGTTTTCTACTTGCAAGACTAGGCCCTTAAACCAATTGAAACGCTTGGAACCCGTACCAGTCCAGCCACCTGTTGCTTCGGTCCAATGCTTCGGATTTCCAAACCTTCCGAGGCGCTTGGGAAGGCGAGATGGAAACGAAGCTGACTCAACCGGACTTCCCTTGCTGAAGATGATATTTGGCTGTGGCTCTGGAGGATCGGCGTTGGTGCGATTGTCTTGCGGTTCTCGCAGTTTGGCGCTTGGGGTGTAGGCATTTGAGCTGTTTGCTGCTTAGGGTTTTGGGTGATACCTTCAAGTGTTTAGAGTGTGGGACTTTGGCGTTTAGGGTAGGATTTAAGGGTTAAGACTTGTGGGCTCCGGGATAAATATCAACACGTTGAGACGGTGTGCGTTTTAAGGCCACACGATCCTGAGAGATTCGGCATTTTAGGCTTTGGTCCAGGGTCCAGGGTTGTAAGGGTTCAAGGCATAGGTGGCCTTTGGGAAAAAAAACTGGCCCCTGGTAAATGGAATAAACCCCATCTAGACCGGTGGAACCCATCTATTTTTAACCAAACTAACCTAAAAAGGACATGGTTCAAGGTTTGGGCCTTTTGGTGTTTCGGGGTTTGCACGTTGGAGCGCCAAACGGGCTGCACATGCAAATTCTCGGCGGCAAGTTTGCCCTTTGCTAAAATGGTTTCCACTACTTTCAGTGATTCCTGATTGTAGTGGCTTGGAGTGGAAAGCGTCTTGGATTGCATTGGCACCCTTCCACACGGACTCAAAATCCCGGTTAGCCACCAGTGAACATCCCAATCCCCTAAAATGGGTGGTGCACCAACCCCAAAATGGTACCATGAGTTTTGAACCACGGCCATATGTAGATATGCCATGATTGAGATGTCCTGCGTCTGTTGCCTCAGCTCACGCTGTTTGCTGTGGGGGCTTGTAATTGAACAGGGCATCCCAATTCCAGTTTCCAAGAATCCTTGGACGTCCAATTGGTCCCAAACTGTGCACCACACAAATCCTTTGAACAACTGGCCTTTGGACCTGCGCAACCATAGCCTTTCTGGAAAAAAAAAGGACACCAACCCCAACCCTGGCACAACCTCAGATTCATGTTTCGGCCCAAAGAAAAAGGAGACACCCTTGGACAACCTCCAATTTCATCCATTTGTTGGCCCAGTTTTCGCCCAGAAGACCGGCGACCGGGTTGGCCCAGTTTTCGCCCGGAGACCGCCCGGAGACCGCCCGGAGACCGGCGACCGGGTTGGCCCATTCTTCGCCCGACCTGGTTGGCCCATTCTTCGCCCCGAGACCGGCGACCGGGTTGGCCCAGTTTTCGCCCAGACCGGTCTCCCGGTCTTTCCGGCCTGTGAGCCCCGTGTAGTCCATCTTCAGCGACATCTCGTAGAGCGCCGCCTGCGTCGCCGCGGTGCCCAACTCCACCGCGGAGCGGTTCGCCAGGAAGGCGTCCAGCAGCGCCGCCGCGTGCCACACGGCGTCGTAGACGTAGCCCGCCATCTCCAGGCTGCAGGGGCCTTGCGATCCCGAAAAATCGCGACTTGGTTGACGGTGGAAGGGGAGCAAAAAGTTAGAACTTTAGCGGTTAAGTGGGGATTTTCCACTAAACCACGATGTAAGGGGAGCAACAATGTTATTTTTTTTGCAGTTCAGTGGTTGGATTTCAACCACTAAACCACAAGAACATGTTTCCCGACAACAACCAATGAAGCGAACCTGGGCTTTGGTCCATTCATTCGGGAATAAAGGAAACCACCAGTTGCATGGTCTATAGTGGTCATTCCATTTCTGATTTCCTGCCTATCGCACTGGCAAGTAAAGTCCACATGTCGGCGGCGTTTTGGCTGAGTTGCAATGGGCGGCTCTCTGACGTTTTGGCTGATGAGTTGGGCCGATGGGAACATGGGAAACAATATCAGATGGGACAGTTTGAGTTGGAGATCTATTTTTTTTCGGTGAAGGCTGGAGGGAACTATCAATCTTGGTCGTACTGAGAGTTTCACGCCAGATTGCTCGGCTGGCGTTGTCACATACTTTTCAAGGGGGCCAGAGAGGACTCAGCGTTTTGCTCCTCTGAACAACAGCTTGTATGAACTTCTGACTGCTGACACAATGCAGTATCTCTGTGGTGTTTTGCGGCATCCCTCCCTGTAGCCAACGTGAAAGCACGGCCTTCGATGTGAGTTTCCTTACAAGGCCTTCTGCAGTCATTGCACCCAAGCTGCAGCTTGACTCCTGTGAAGCGACCCAAGGAGCACATAGCACAGGAAGCCTAGATCCAATCCCGACCCCGAGCCAACCACTGGCCGAGCTGCCAAGGCCATTCGCAAAATCGCTGCTCCGGCATTCTGCGAGGTACTCTCGCACGATGCCCGAAAGTTGTTGGCCGGAAAGTCCATGAAGGTCGCTGGTGTCCATCGTGCCAGCAGCGTCTGCCCCAATCCTCAGACTTTCAGTGCAGGGCAAGCACCTGCCACTCATCAACCCTTGATGAATGAGTCCCTACATTTGTCAAAGGAAGTTTCAAGGGAACTTTCGTGGTACGGCAACGAGTTGAAAGCTACCTCTCTAAGACTGAGGACACGAGAAGAATAAGCACGCGCGAGAAAAATCCGTGCGCGTGTTGGGGCGCTGGGATTGACCGCGGCGCCTAGTAGCAGCACGTTTGGAGCACGTTTAGAACACTCTGGTCATGGCACGGACGCGTGCACTTTTCACGGCATGTGCAGATTGCATGGCAGGCGCAGCGCTTTGGCCTGGTGATGCTGCAGATTTCGTGGCAAGCGCAGCACTTTAGCAAGATCTACAGGAAGTTAGATTGATTGCTAGAGAGGGAGAGAGACAGATATGTAGACAAATAGGCGTAGGTATCTAGCTAGACGACTGGATAGGTAGATAGATTCGATTGGATTGGATTGGATTGGATTGGACTGGATTGGATTGGATTGGATTGGATTGGATTAGATTAGATTTAGATAGATAGATATATAGATAGGTAGGTAGATAGATAGATAGATAGATAGAGAGATAGAGAGATAGAGAGATAGAGAGATAGAGAGATAGAGAGATAGAGAGATAGAGAGATAGACAGATAGACAGATAGACAGATAGATCGATGGATAGATAGATAGATAGATAGATTAGATTAGATAGATAGATTAGATGAATGAATGGATGGATGGATGGATGGATGGATGGATGGATGGATGGATGGATGGATGGATGGATGGATGGATGGATGGATGGATGGATGGATGGATGGATGGATTAATAGGTAGGTAGGTAGCTAGATAGGTGGCTAGGTAGGCACAGAAAAACAGATAGGAAGATTAAACACAAAACACACACAGGAACAGGACAGACAAACGTCAATAAAGAAAGGAAGGAAGGAAGGAAGGAAGGAAAGAAGCACAATCAATAGTAAGGGGGAAAGGTTACGGCCAAAGCTGCTTTGGCAAAGGGAAAGTCATGATCTGGCCGAAACACATTCTCTTGGGTGCGGTTTTCCAAGGCTAAGACGGCAGGCAGAACTCTGCAATGGCCACGGCGCGACATCTCACTATGTGCACATACCCGGCGCGGAGCAATTTTGCAGCGTTCAGACATGGGCTGTTGGGGGATCTGGGTAAAGAGTAACAATACAACATCTCCTAAATGCTTAAATCGACCACCTCACCAACATGCGGCGTGTGGTCCCGTCTCGTTTTGAGAGGTTGCTGCCTCTCTGAATCCATTCCCGCACACACACACACACACCGATATATATATATATATACAATGTGGTTATAATATCAGCATAATGAGCATTCGTACACAGATCTTCAACTTGGATGTCCAACACAAAGTGTGTAAGTTGAGCAGTCACCAACGGAGCGATCAGCGCATGACGGCATTCAACGCCGCGACATCAACAATATCCCGCAGAATGAGTAACTCTGAAACACTCATGCGCTCCCTCACATGATTTCGGGCAATCTAACACTCTAGGTCCTCCAGTAGAGAGGTCAGAAAAAGGGTACCAACTTTTTGCTGTAGTCTATCCTAGTAGGGGAACCGAATCTCCCCCAACAAAAGGGGTGAGAGGTCGGGCACCGATCGCTGGAGGACCTAGCACTGTTGCTTTAGCTCAGCTGCCTCTAGTCAAGCGGTTTGCCAGTTCCCTGACCCCGTGGTCTTGCAAAGGGCGGACACCGCAACTTTGCTGATAAGTGCTTGCCCACTACTCACCAGTTAAGGCCATGCAAAGGCTTGTTATGAAGATGCTTGGCCCAAGCAAGTGGGGACAGTCCCAGCCACTTGGTGCGCATTCTTCAAATACATGGCTTAGCACCTTCTCCTTCAATACTAAATTTTGGTCGGGTCTTGCAGCGGGTTGCAAGTCATGTCAAATCCCATCCCCCTGAATTGGGGGCACGGGTTTCCCTGTGTTTGCTTCAGGTGGTTTTTGTTTGTGCCCGATTATCTTTAGATAGGACATGTCAGATTGTCAAACATACACTAGTGATACTGGGGGGTGTCTCTTTTTGAGGGTCCGAGTACTCCCTTTTGCGGTGGTTTTAACGGAACATCAGAAGGAACACCGCCCATTTTAGGGAAACCCACTCAAACAGACCCATGTCGCGGCCGCGTGAATAACAAAAAAGCACCCAAACACCCGGCGCATGGCCCAACGATTTGCCTTGCCGCGGCGCATGGCATGGGCAGCGACTTGCAGCTCCTGGGCAGTGCAAGGGCACTTCTCCTCAGATGCCCAGTGGATTTCCATGGGAAAGACAAGCATCGGCATCCTTTTCTCGGTTGAGTTTAAAAGGGGAACCCTTCCAAAAAAAGGAAAACAAAACACCACTATCATCTTTTTTTTTCGGTTGGTTGAGCTTAAAGGGGAACGCGTACCCAAAAAAAATATGCGAAGAGGAAGCCGAGTACGCCACTGGGCCGCCGAGTCTCACTGCCGGCCAGGAAGGACATGAAGCCGGAGTACCACCAGCCGGAGACCAGGAGCCAAACCTCAGCTCAAATGGAGAGCTGAACCTCGGAGGTTTTTTTTTTGTTTTTAGGACTCCCCGGAAAGCACCAACAAACGCTCTGGGTTCGGAAAAGCGGTGCAGGATTTTTGTCAGAATCACCCAGCGGCTCAGAATGATGGACATCTGCTGGATGGCAAGGACTGGGGCTTAGGTTCCAGGAGCCAAGGGCGGCAAGCCCGCCCATCTTGGGAGTGTTCGGATCATAGGTGTCCTTTTTGGGAAAATAGATCGCCCTGGTCAATGGAATCAAACCAACCTAAACCAGTGCCATCTATTTCTAGCCAAAATCACCCCAAAAGGACGACTGTGGTTTGGATGCGTTGAGAAAAAAAAGGGGGCAAGCACCATTTGTGGACGGCCCAATGTGGCTCATGCAGTGCTTCGCCAGCAAATCAGGGAGTCCCTGTGATGATGTTCAAGCAAACCTATGCATTCAACCAATCCCTGGCTTCAGACTAGGCAGCCAAATCAAGCCGCTTTCTTCCAAGGGGAACGATTTTTGCAGGCAATTGCCTGGCAAGCCTGTCCACCTCCAGGGCAGAAGGCAAACTTGTATTTCTATGAAGATGTTGTCTTAAAGCATTTGGGGCACCTCACCAACACAAATCCACAAATCCAAGCCTGCAGGCTTGTGAATGCAGCTGTGACAAATGCTGCTGACCTTCGCGTTTAGAAACCGATAGCTTCCGGGGGCCAACTGATTCATGTTGGCAAACAAGACATGGCTCGTCCCTGCAGTGACTACGAATTGATGACTTCTGTGGCCCTGAGGAGACTGCTTCGTGCGTTTCGCCAGCTGGCTGTTGCCAGTCGTGCGCCAAGATGTGTTGACGCCTCTTTGTCATTTGTCATCTTCCTTCTGATTAATGTTTTCACATTCTAAATAACCTGTGAGATGCATCTAAGAAAATATACTCTTGAACAACAAGACATCTCATAGCTATTAGTAGGTCATCGGACCAGCGGAGAAGGAAAGTCATAGCAGTGCCCAGTACCACCGAGTGTCTTACCGTCGCAGGGGGAGGGGTACTCGGGAGCCTGAAGTGAACCGATATACCAAGAGACGTATTCAGGCGCCACCATGTTCCGCCGATATGCTTGGCAAAGCAGCATAGCCCCATCCTGAGCTGTGGTGCTATGAGTTACTGACTAAGTCCCAGTTCACAGACGCGCCTGGCTAGTCAGAAATATCGGAGAAGCCTCACCCAACCCCGCAAAGTGCAAACTATCCAACATTGCCGAAAGGAGAGCTCTAGAATGCTCTTGACTCTCAATCTCTCTCTGTCTCTGTCTCTCTCTCTGTATCTCTCTCTCTCTCTCTCTCTCTCTCTCTCTCTCTCTCTCTCTCCCTCGCACACACACACACACACGAAACCGGAACCTGGCGTTAAGTACATATAAAACGCTAACATGATGTTCCAGATAACGGAGCACACACTGTGTGTTCAAGTGTCATGGTTGTGGGTTGGAGGATGCAAATCAGCAAGCCACTTTAGCATGGGCTCCTTCAAAACGCAAAAGCACACTGACACTATGGGAACTGCACGCTCAAGCGAAGCTGTACCATTAAATTACTTGGCGGGTGTCCGCAAGCTCAGTTAGACATCCCCAAAAACCCTTAAATCAAACGCTCTTTGGGGGAGCCCCCCAAACACTCCACCCCAAAGCCACCCGCTGAATGCAAACCAAAACAGACCAACCGACCGGCTTTCGCTTTGGAAACTTTGATCTCCGCACCGGAAGAGATATGGCCGTCGGCGAACAACTTCATCGCCAGCCTCCACTCTCTACCAAACACCTACAGCTGGCCACCCACCGGCCACTACCACCTAAGCCAACACATCAAAGAATATCAAAGAAGTTTCAAGCTTCTGGATTTGTTTGCTCCAGGCTCCAAGCCTTTTTATCATTTTAACGTCTCTTAAGATTCCAAGTCGTTACTTTTTGGATTTTGTCGCTTCGCTTCCGAACCTGAAACTTGCAGCTGCCACACAAATCAAGCAGCTTAAGGTTCAAGCTTTTGTGATGGGAGTGTGTAACTTCGCTTGGCTACTCATCTACATTTCAAACAGCTTTTCCTTACACTTGGACAAAGGAACAAGAAAGCACTCCAACCATAGGTGTCCTTTTACGGGAAATAGATGGCCGTGGTAGATAATTAAACCACCAGGTAAACCGGGGCCGTCTATTTTTCGAGCAAACAACCAAAAGGACACCTATGATTCCAACTCATTCCCTGAAGATCAGCGCGGTCAGCAACTAACCTTCCGGCCAGGCTTCGTCCTCATACAGCGCCATGAAGTTGATCTTGGCGTCGCGATCCTTCGCTCGTAGGCTTTTTTACGCAGTTTGGGAAGTTGGAGGAAAGAATATCACATGGCCCTGGGTCAAAATCCCGTATTCCCAGTGAACATCCCAATCCCCACTAAAATAGAGAAAATGGGTGGTGCAACCCCATAATGGTACCATTGGTTTTGAACCATGGCCGCATGACGCAGAAAATGCGCCAGGCTCAAATACACAACTCAAAGTAAATTTCCGCTGAAATAGCTTTCCGAAGGTTTGTTTTCTCTTTCTCTGCGGGTGGTTGCGAAGTCCAGAAATCGCAGCACGATGTTAGTTGTTACCATGGTTAAACCTACAACGTTTGTTGGTATTTACAGGTAGAATAGAATCATAAACCAGGGTTCCTTAGGTGGTGCCTAAGAGGATCTCATGCATCCACACAGCAATGTGCCCCCATAAGTATCAACCAAAAGGCGATCCAGCACTCTGAAATCGGTAGGGCACCTCCCAAGATAATTGGACACGCGCCTGCATCTCCTGTAGTGCTGCACCGGCGCTGGCCTCATCAGACACCGTCTTGTGGAGCAAGACCGTCCAGGGGTAGGCACCTGCCAATTGAAGGGAGTTACTGTGGATGGACCAAATCCACTTCGCACCACTTGGCAACCATGGGAAAGCACTGTTTGTTTGGTATTTACAGGGGAATCATTCTTCCAGGGTGTCTTAGGTGGTGCAGGATTTTGTCCATCCACAGTATGATCTACGCGGTTGGCACTAAATAACGCAAAATAACACCATGGGTATATACACTAGGTCCTCCAGATTTGAGAGGTTAGAAGAAGTTGGTACCAACTTTTATTGGTTTTGTCTATTTTATTAGGGGAACCCTCCCCAATGGGTAAACGGGCACTACTGGGGGACCTAGTATAATATATATATATATATATATAAATATATATACCAGGTATCAGCATCAAATACTATTCACGGACCGAGGCTTCTTTCGGCTCATTTCAAATCCATGGTATCCCCGAGTGAACGATGCGACTGAAAAGGGGGGTGTCGAGGTGCAGGGAGGTGGCAACGTCTGCATAAAAACTGCAGACGAGTCAAATCGAACATGGGACCATCATGGACCTCTCAAGAAAACGGTCAAGAACAATGGCGCAGTGAAGGGCCAAGGACCAGCATGGAACACACAAACACACAAGCAAATAAATAGGCAAGCATACAGGCAAACACAAAACGCTCATGAGGTGGCCCTCGGTTGCAGGCAATGAGTCGTAGGCCCACATTCACAGCGCAGTGTGATCTGACACCCTCCCAGAGGCGGATTCAGATACCGGGCAAGAGACTTCCAACACTTTTTTCGCAAACGCAAACGATGCGTCAACCTAGTTGCACACTGGTCATGTCCTCAGTGGAGCGACAAGGCAACCACACTGAACAGAAACAAAGCCCGCATAGTATGGGCGCCCGAGTCCTTACAGGCCAAACTTGTCGTGTACTGTAGATCCAGCTTTGAAAGGCTCGGTAACCCACCACCCGGCAGTTCGCACCTTCCACTTACCACTTAAGATTCAATCTAACACTGAATTACCACTGACTGGCAAGCCTGGCTAGCCAGTCCAAGGGTCGAGGTCTGGCTCGATTTACCACGGGTAACCTCTAAAGTTTAGAAGTGCAATGAAATGTGTTGGCGAGCCCTAGGTCCTCCAGCAGAGGGGTGAGAATAATGGTGCCCTGTTTTCTGTAGTCTATTTTAGTAGGGGAACCCTCCCCCCAAAAAGAAACGGCAAAAGGGCACCTAGCTGGGGGACCTAGAACTCACCCGCACCACGCTGACTTCACGAAACTCGACCTCACCTGCTTGAAGGTCCATCTGAATGAGGCTCATCAAAAACTGATAGGCAAACAAGCTGATCTCCCGGAAGCCACAGATGATGCCCACGCGTTGGAAGTTCAGAACTTTGGTCAGTTGCACGAGAGCAACAATATTGAAGCGAAAGGAGGGAGTCATCCTGGCAACCGCACTGGAAAAGCTGAGTAGCGGGTAGTCATCCGAGATTATGTAAAGCAAATCCAAACCTGAATAAGACATGGCAACACCCTCAACTACAAGCTGGTCCTGGTAAAGTAGGGGTAACGCTGGCGATCGCTGAGCGCGTCTGATCTTGCCGTTGGCGAAATCTGGAGGACGTTGAAGTACTGCACAGCGTCATTCACTGCTTGTGCTGCGTCGCTACACGCGGGACCCACCACGATGTGCTTCGCAGGTGGCGTGCTGAGCGACTCGATGATTGCCCGGGTCGCGACCTTCGCGTTGCAAGCACTCTCCACCAAGTGGATCTTTAAGCGGTAGCCAGGCAGGAAGGTACTGCTGTCCTCGGCCGCAAATGAAGCCGCTGCTCATACATGGGTGTGGCTCAAATTCAAGAGCTAGGGTTAAGCAGGTTTTAGTCTTTGGTTCCATTTACCAATGTGCCATTTAGTACATGTTTTGGAGCTACAGCCACATTGCTGGAAGCGGGATACCAAGGCATCTTGACAAGGTGTCTTTGCAGATTGCAAGTTCTTGGCAAAGTGCAAGAAAAAAACGCCGATGATGGCAACCAAGTTGCAGCATATTCCAGTACTCCCTACAACTCCAAAGTAGCAAGTTCAGATTTCTTTGCCAGGAAATGCCAGGAACTCCTCTGTGATCCTTCCTGATTCTGGCTAGAACCTCCTTTCTGATTTCTTAGCTTCCAGACATCGCCACATTTCGGTTAGTTACCTGCGGCCTGGCCGCACCGGCGGAACGGCTCACGGCGAGCGCCAAAGGCCCAATCAAAGTGATGTGACTCATCCCAAAGGGGCTCCAACACTTCTCCCCAAATTCATGGAGGTCACAAAGAGCAAAACTGCCCCTTGCATCTGGTTTTTGGCTCAGGCAAAGGCAACTCCAACCTGCCACAAGAAAAAAGACATGGAAAACACGGGCGACAAACCTGTTTTTCATACTCGCTTTAGGTGGGTAGTCGCTCCAGCCTGAATTGGGTTGCCTGCCTCTCCCCCCGAGAATTCCCGAACCTTTTGCTCCGAAGGTCTTCGATCTGCTGCGCGGCCAGCCGTAGCATCGGCTCGAAGGTCGACATGCCGTTGCCCTGCGGGCCGCTGTAGGGCCCGAGCATCACCACATGGAGCTCCTCCTTCGCGCCGCTTTCTGAAACGTTCCTCGGCGCAAAACGAGCAAACAGCGCAACCCTCAGCACAAAGTCTTAGATCAAGGACTCCTTGTTCAGTGGACTTCACAGCCACACGTTGCTCATGCAGGGCATATATGGCGACCACGAACATGCCCCCCAGGGCTGAAAGTTGCAGGATCAATCATTTTGTGATTGGGTGAATGACAAAACCGCAGCGCCAATTCAACGAAAAAGCCGGATGAGTTGACTGAGAAGTATGTCACTTCCACTTCATCAGGGACTTGAAGGTGTATGTTGCTTCAGGAGGGAGCTCTCTCTCTCTCTCTCTCTCTCTCTCTCTCTCTCTCTCTGTTTCTGGGATTTTCCATGCGCAATGCGATTCCACAATCACGTGGACTCTACAGTGGAAGTTGAAATCATCTTTCTCTTCCCGTGAAAGGAAGTCCTCATCCTGGCTTGCCCTCCGGCCGCTTTGCTTCGCCGGCGAAGTCAGGAGGGGTTTCTATCTGTTTGGTTCAGTCCAGGAAGCGCCTTTTTTTCACGGCGGAGGCTCCGCATCTACTGGAACAAGTGGAAAAACCGGCCGCTTTGCATGGCTCTGCTAACAAAGCGGCCGCTGGCTTGCTCTGGCTAATCTCAGCCCTCGTTTCTCACAAGACATCGAACCGCGAGATCAAGAGCACCGCTGCCGTCATCAATCGCCTCGAACAAGTTCGCACTGTCCGGCGGCAGCTTCGGTCGTCCATCAAGACGTTCACAAAGCTGGCCGCGGCGTTCGCCTTCATGTCCTGCACACTGCAGCACGTCAGGCCCACCAGCGTCGTGCAAACTCCTCCCAGACACCAACTGTGGAGAAAGGCCCGCCACGCGCGTAATCGCTGACTGGTGGCATGCAGCAGTGACATCGTCGCGCGCATGAACGAAGCTGCTTCTTCACCTGCAGCCCGAAATCCTTGCTTTTCCCTGCCCTGTACAGCTTGGACCTAGCCGATATCTGCTGTGCCAACTCGGAGGGATATGCATCCAGCTCCTGCCAGAACTCCAGGATGAATCCATGAGCTGGGTACAGGCCTGCGGGACCAGTGCAAACAGTGAGGCTTGAGCAGGGCCTTCCTTTGACTTACATGCCTGGAGGATAGTGGTCCCCAAATACTAACCCGCGGCACAGATCACATCAATGGTCCCCAAGCATTGAACATCATTGAACCCTGCGTTCGAGGCTTCAACAATCGGAGTATGTTTGTGCTTCATATCCTTTGATTAAAGCCTTTCGTAGCCTGGCTGGTTTCCATCTCGTTCCGTGTTCACCGTCAATGTATGGAACAGAAAGCCAACATCAACTTACTCGCAGGGCAAAGTGTCCGCACTCTGTCCATCGGAGCTAGCCTCGCAAGGACAACTATGGTGTACCTTTTCTTGCGAGCCCCTGGCATGCTAGTCAAACAACTTATCACTTGCAGCCCGCTCAAACTTGAGAGAGCCAACAAAGCAAAACAAGCATAACAAAGAGGTGGTTGCGTATCTTTGTGGAACAAAACAGTGGGACCGTCCGCAGCATGGCAACACCTTGGGCAAGCATGATTCATGAGTACATTGCATGGTCACATCGGCAACACTGCACTGTTAAAATATATTATCGTTTGTCAAAATATATTACATCAATTGTACGTAATGTCTTAGCAAACAACCTGATAGCACCGCTCCTTACACTTGGGGGCGTTTGACGACAAACTACGCAAACAGGTTGCAACTTGTGGTTGCGAAATCAGTGTCAACAGCTGTCATGAGCCCACAACCAAATACAGGGCCTGAAAAAGACGAGGATAGCTGAGCCTTGGATGACAGCTCCATAGCAGAAACATGTCAAAAAGTACCTGGGCTAACATCTCAAAAAGCAACTAATTGGGCTTCCGAGCCTATTCCAAAAGCGACGGTGACCATTGGGCTGGTCACAATTTGGAAAGGAAAACTCCATCCAAGGATCCGTGAGATGGTTTTATCCAGCTGACAAATTTCGCGAGTAAACTTGGGTAAATGGCCCCGGTGTTTTGAGGTTGCCCTCTCAGGGCTGGTGGAAACCAGCCTGGGCTGTTCAACATGGAGGCATATCCGATTTTCCATGTCTAAGCCACTAGGGAACCGGTTCCTTGCGCAAGGTAAGGATCCTGCGGACCTTTGAACAGCCAGCGAAGACCACCTTTTTGGCGTCCGATTGGACACATCGCGAGCCGACGCAAAGCTCAGCCGAGTCACACGACGCAATTGTTGCGGTGGTAGCGGCAAGGATAGTAGTTGCCATCCTCGACAAAACACGCAGGGAAGTGTAAATCTAGTTTCACATTAGCACCAGGGCGGAGAAAGAGTGGCACGCTATACTTGCGTCCAACTATCAATCACCAAATCATCACAACTCAAGCCAGGACACGTAACAACTGACAGGCACAACATACAGACAATATGGTCTAAAGAACAGTTGCCACTAGTTTAGGAGCCCCTTTCAGGCGGCGAAGGCCGTACCAGGATCCATCTGTGCCCTGTTTTCGGCCTCAGGGCATGCCAAAGAAACAAGGCCTCAGGACCTCCTTGTCGTAGTGCGAAGAAACCAGGCCTCCTGTCTGGTCCCTCTTACATCATCAAGGGCCAATGCGCATGTAAAAAGACACGTCAAGTAGCCATGGATCAAAATCCCGTACCCTCAGTGAACATCCCAATCCCCACTAAAATAGACTAAATTGGTGGAGCACCTAGCCCAAGATGGTACCATTGGTTTTGACCCACAGCCAAGTGGTCAAGCTATGGATGCCTTTTTGAAGCCCCAGTGAATTGTTTGTTGGTATTTGCAGGGGAATCATCCGAAACCAGGGTCTCTGAGGTGGTGCAGGATTTCGTCCATCCACAGTATGTTTGGCCACGATCTGACACTCCGAAACAAAACCACCACCGCCCTTCACTTGAAATCAAGCAGCAAGCCTGTCTCTACCTGGTGGTTGCCCTTGCCCTGAGCATGGAAGTGCACAAGGGGCCTTTTCAGAAGATCCTCCATCAAAACATTCCGACCTCCTCGTCTCAAACTTCATGAAGACGTTTGTAGCATCGAATCTTCACCGAGCAGCAAGGGCTTGGCAGAGCTCAGGGCACAGTGCGGCTTGCGCGTCTCCCAAGAACTTCAGGAACAGCCTCGGGTCACATAACAGGACCAAAACGTGGTGTCAAAACAAGTTGGACCGAGGATGCCTGCCACACGAGCTGACTCCCACGTCACTTGGAAGTATCTGGCAGAATTACTCTCTTGAACATCCGCATGTTGGGCCCGCACATTGCATGCTCAAATTTCTCCATTCCCCTATCAGCTTACACGTGTGTTCTGACGGCCTACAATTTTGTGCTTTAGATTGGTGCCTTAAGCGAGCGGAAGTGGCTAAACCTCGTCTATGAAATGCGACTTGGTGATATGCTTGCTCGAGCAAGCGGCTTGCACAACTAGGTCCTCCAGTAGAGAGGTTAGAATAACGGTACCAACTTTTTCTGTAGTCTATTCTAGCAGGGGAACCGAATCTCCCCCAAAAAAGAAACGGTAAAAGTTGGCACCTAGCTGGGGGACCTAGACAACTTGCGTGATACTGCCCCTCTTCTTGTGCTTCCCGCTGGTCCTGGAGGCACGGGGCTGAATTCGTAACGAGCCTTCGCTTTAGTTCGTTTAGTCGAGTAGCTTTTTTGATGTTGCCATGCGGTGCCGCTCGCCTCTTTAAATGGAACCAAGTTTTCCAAAGTCCTGGGAGCTTCCATGTTAGTTTGAGGGAGTGTATTTGCACCAGCTGCAACATTGTTTCTCTGAATACTATATTTGTAGTTGTATTGTTAGCGTGTAGTCGACACAAACCGACAGCTGCAAGCACTGCACGCGACGCCATGAGGGAAATCCACACTTCGAGGGTTGCCAACCATAGAGTCCTTCATGCGTATCCCCTTCAAGGGCAGAAGGCGGCACCAGGGTCTAAAAAGGCTCTGAATGTTCTCGCTTGCTTTCTGCTCCCCTAAAAGCTTAAAACTTTTAGTGGTTTAATCGCACACTTGTTCGATCCTCTTGCCTCGACGGCCCGCTATATGCAGCCGGAGACACCTGACTTTTAGTGTTTTTTCTTCTTTTTTTAACGAAAACCCACTTGGCAAAAAGTCAAAGTCCCTTGGCATCCCTTGGCAAAATGCACCATGTTGACCACCCACTTCCAGGCGGAGCTCGCCCACCCTGCGGTTTCCTCCCAGCTAGCTGGACTCGCGCCAGCGAAGATGCGAAGAGTCACAGCCGAGAAGCGCAAGCCCCAGCATCGCCAGGTCCGAAAACCCTTGAGCACTACCCTAAGGAAAAATCCTTGCGGGATGGATGGCTGCGAGATGGTCCGAGCCAAACGGTGACCGACTGGCAAGGCAGTTGGGACGAATCCAACCGAAAGTCTAACAATTAGAGCAATTTTCTAAGCCCAGATGCGGCCGAAGAGAAATCTCAAATCCCTTTTGCCGCCGCCTTCGCGGCCTGCTTCTTCGCAAGAGATTTTGCTGAGGGAATGGCGTTTTAGCTTTCGCAACAAGCGCGGGAAAACCAGTATGCTTTTTGCTGATCATCTTCGGCAAGCGGACCAGCGGCCGGTGAAACCCTGGCTGGGAAGCCGCAGAGTTATGTTCGCGGGGCTTTCGTGGAGCGTTCGAAAGCAACTCGGGATGCGCTGAGCTTTTGGCCAGGGCCTCGGGCGAAAAAGCCACCAGCTTTTCCAACGGGCATCCTTTCAAAGGCCCTTTGTCATTGTTTTATTCAAGGGCTTACACAAACAGATTTCAAAGCTCATGGCACATCTGCCTCCTCACTTGACACAAGTGTTTGTTCCTGAGTTTTGTCATTGTCTGCAGTTGCTGCATGCCGAACCCTGCCTCGGACCTTTCGTGGCGTTCAAAAGCGGCCTGGGAAATATCGTTGTTTTGAAATCAATGTGGATGGGCGAAATCTGCTTCTCGCACCACCAAAGCCCTGGTGTCTGATGATTCCCCTGTAAATGGTAACAAAGAATGGCTTCAACCACGGTTTCCAAGTGGTGCAGGATTTCGTCCATCCACAGTATTTTCAAACGAAGGGGTTCTATGTTTTAGAAAAGCTCTCAATTGTGGGTGATCATGACAGTATTTTCTCCCACAAATCCTGAACATGATCCATGACCATTCCTCAACCTTAAGACACCAAGCCTTTGCCAATGGCACTTCGCCCCTTTGCAGGTCAGCATTGTGCATGTAGCCTGTATATGCATATGCATGTCTAGATATATATATATATGTTTGTGTTTGTCAACATAACTAATGTGTACATATAATATGCAAATGCAGACCAACATGTCAACATTGCTGCATGTGTGGATATGTATACTCGTAACTCTGGGCACATGCTCCGGGAATATTGAATTCGAGGTGTATAACATATACATACATATATATATATACACACACATGTACAGTACACGTGCAAAGATGTTGCGACATGTACATGTCATGCATGTTTCTGCATATAAAACACACACACGTGCATGTGTGCATGCATGTATGGTTGTACGTGCGCACGTACGTATGTATGTGTGTATGTTTGCATTATGTGTAGTGTGCTCTTTCTGCGAATGTGTGTATGTGTGCATGCATGTATGTATATGCCCATATCTGTGCGTATGAACGATACCGTGAACAATCGTGAACACTTCAATCGCACGGCCCGGATCGTCCCTGCGTACTATGCAGCTGCCCGGAGGTACAGGCGCGAACAGAAGGGCAACCACGTTAGCGATTGCAATGCACGCACCACCTAAGGATCGTGTTCCAACTTTTCTGCAAAGCCGGTCCAACCCAGCTAAGTAGCTTTGAAACTATTGCTCAGCTGCGGACGTTTTTTTCTTGAGACGGAAGGTGCACCCAATCGCATTCCCCCACCCGATCTGCGCCCTCGCGCCTCACTTTCCCACCAGCCAGGAGATAAGGACAGTCTGAGAGAGCCATTGCACGTTCGTCCATGTGAACTTGTTAACAACATGACCCTGTCTGGCAGAATCCTTGAGCAAATTCCTGTTTTGATACCCCGCCCCATGTTTGGCGGGAAGACTCTATTGCCAGAAAGGCCTTGGAATGCGGGAAGGGGCTTCTTCACGTTAATCACTGAGAAATTGCAAAAGGAATCTATAGATTCCGTGCGCAATTCAGTCCCGTCGCAGCTAATGTGATTGTTGGATTCTGGCATGCGTTCCTGTGTGCAGAGTGCCGGGCGTTTGATGGCTGAACGGTAGCCAACCTACGCGTAGCGTAGCTCTTGCTATGTGCTGTCACGATGCGTGCTGGGCCAATGAAGCAAAACTCCCACGGGGGTCTGACATAATCCTGCCAAAGCTCAAGGGGGATGGAATTTGAACTGGTTTCGTGCAACTTGGCAAATCTGATCAGCCTTGCTCCTTCCTTCGACATTTTCGGAATGCCAGCATGTCATAGGTCACAACTCCGTTCTTAGCTCGTTAGAAACTGGCTCTGGCGTCAAATACCAACAACACACAAGCAACAAACGGCCGATCATCACGTCTGCGAGTGTTGGCAGGTGTCATCAGGCCTTTGGCATCCTGCAAAACATGCAGAAGGCTCGCTGGATGTCCTCAATGCTTGTGATGACATTTAGACTAGGTCCTCCAGTAGGGAAGTTAGAATAAGGGTACCAAATTGTTCTGTAGTCTGGTTTACTAGGGGAACCCTCCCCAAAAAAAGGGTAAAGGGCACCTAGCTGGGCGACCTATTAGAATCTTATTATAATCCCTTGAGACTGCCCTCCCGCCGCCTTGGAGCGTCAGTGATGCAGTCGATAATGCCACCTCTGAACATCTCAGCTTTCCCCTTGGTGGTTTAGAGCTTGAGGGGTTTCCATTTTACCCTCCAGAAGAACCAGAGGTTCAACTCCCAAACCGCCAATTCAAACCATCAATTAAGGGGCACCTGAACATCGGTACTGCCAAGAAGCTCAACTGACAGCTGGTAGCAAAAAAAATAATGCCCTACACTGAAGTTGCAAATGGCAGCAGCTTCACGCAACTCCGAGGATTTGTTGCGGCTTCAGAACCTGACTCCAATTGGGGAGATGCAGGTGAGGTCCAAGCGAGGCCATTTGTTGCTATGGGCGTATCCTTTTTAGGGGCCAAACTTGGTGGGTGTCCTTGTCGTTTCCCTTAACACGACCGAACAGTGGCCTCAAGAAGACGCATGCTCATATCTTTTGCACAGGCTTTGCGCATGTGAAAGGCTTGATGTCTGATGGAGCCTAGCCATACGCGCCACGGACACCCGGATCCATCCAGCATATCTTGTAGCCAGTCTTTGCGCGTGGATTCCCCACAAGCGGCAAGGAAATCAATGGCAACTTTACAACAAAAGCATACGCCAACCTCTGGAGACCCCGGTTGCGAGAGCAACCAAGAGACAACCACGCAATTGGGCATTTGGAAGGGGCGAGCAAGGCTTGACACAGCCAACACACGAAGCACATCTCAGTTGCGCGTGGCCAAAACTGGGCAAGGCCTAGCCAAGTCCAAAGGGTTAGGCAACTGGACAGTTGCATTTGCCATCGTCCCCATCAGTTCAGTCCCTCCTTCTCGTGATACAAAAACCGGCTTTGCCCAAACACACCCAAATTTTGCCCCACCGGGGGCCCTGGCAGCAGCATGGCTGCCGCTACATGGACCTGACTCAAGTCGGGTCAACCCCCTCGCGTCCTTTTTGGACCCCGCCATTGGCTCCTTCTTTGAGGTTTTCGGCTCTTGAAAAGACACCTGGGTGGTGTGGGGGTGGGTCAAAATCGGTACCCCAATTTGAACCCTGGTAAATGGAAACAAGGACTCAAATTGACTAAAACTCGCTGTTTAACTTTGACCCATACTCACCTGAAACCCAAGGGCTTTCTTGGTTCAGAAACAATGGGTCGCCTGTCTTAGACTTGCCCCACTGCAAAACCGACATCTGTGAACGACAATGATCATTTTGACTCCTGTGATTGGCAGGTGCAAATTTGTCGACTGGAAAACAAGCTTTGAGCGCCTGGGCGGGCAGATCGGGAACCGGGGCATGGGACACATTGTAAGACAATGCAAAGCAACACCGACATGGTCAGCCCATTTGGCAAGCCAAAAGATGCCAAAGGGTTCTTCCCCAACACAGCCAGCTGCTTATACAAGAAGGCTTCGGATGCCTCTCTCCGACACCTCAAGCACCCTCAAACGGCATGCGTACAGCTGGAAACCCAATACCCCGAGCATAAATCAACTGACCAGGCTGCGGGTTTGACACCCTTGCGTTGACACTCAAAAGCGAGTGCCGACGAAACAGCCAGACCGTTTCAACGGTCACAACTGAATTCAAACACAACATCCAGGTATTTGGAGCTGCAGAGCGACCAGAACAAACCAGGTAGACATGGCTGCACTGCTTCCAAGGTTCTTCTCTTTAATGCACAATGACTCAATGACATGACAGCTGGTTGAATTGAATCCGCTAAAGGCATATTCGGCACTGTTACTATGAAGTGAATCCCGTGGCTACAGAGCCAAACCGCTGTTAGGAGAAGGTGAAATACATATAAAAAGTGTGATCCTAGCATGAATGGGCAGGAAAATGGAATTTGTTGAGCTAGTTTGCTTCTTGTAGATAAACAAACATGCTGCACCAGTACGTGGTCCATCCCAGCTTTCATGGAAAAACATCCTCATGCAAATGTTTGCTGTCCTTCCTGCCATGCTGCCAATATAGAAAGAGAGAGAGCCAAAAAGGGCAATTACCCTCAAACAAGACACCATGCGCACATTTTGAGAGTCGCCAATGAAGAAAAGCGGAACACGGGCGGTTGCAGCCAAACAAGTGCCGCCAGCCAGCATTGAGGGACGCCGTGCAGCCACGCAGAGGCAGCTCCTCAGCACGGCGATTCCAGCTGCCCCTGGTGACTCAGCCGACCCAAGGCCTCTTGGAGGGTGGTCCTTTGAGTGGCATGGTGACACTTGAGTAAACCATGCCTAGAATATATTTAAGAATTGGCCGAGAGGTCTTCTAGAAAGTTGCGCCGGGTTAAAAAATACTTCGCTTCGAGCAATCCCCACCCTCCACCCTCACGAGCTTACGACCGTGAACACGGTTGTGTCAATTCAAGCATGGTTTTCGAGTGGCTTAGGGCCGTTAACAACAAGCCAAGCCCCTTCCAAAGAAACCAGACGGGGGATTAAACGAAGTTGCTTATTCACGACCCACAGCAACACAAAAGCATCACCCTTTCCAAGCTTCAGGGTGCACTCAAAACACGAAGGCACCAACATATGAAATGTAAACCCAACTGTGCGC